TACTGTATACAGTAAGTTCATCTTAATACAGGTATACGTACAACTGTAGTTGCACATCTCACTTAGATTGTTGCCGTCAGGGAGTGCCTATATCCTTTGAAATGCAACATCAACAAGCTATCAACAAGCGATATTCAGGGCTTGCCATGACTTGCAGAAATTATTGAATCAGGTGCTTCACTCGCTCCATTCGCATTGGCTTTTCATCGCTGTCACAAAAGCACAAATGCAAAGCCTTCTTGTTGAAAGGAGCAATGGATATGTGGATCCTTTGGATGACTTAGTTCCTGGAGAGAAAGCAATTGTGACAAGACGAAAGGAATGAGTTCTCCATGTCAAGAAAAGCAACTCTCGTGATTTGTACTTAATTCATGAGGAGCATTAGATCCGCCACAGGAAGTGGATTGCACTAAAGTCCAATCAATCATGGGTTGCAGTTTCGATGTTTGTCCCGTGTCCTGCAAAATTGAGTTCACATCGCCCTCAACAAAAAGAAACAAAAGAACATCATTCCGAATCATTCTGTGATTGCTTCGGCCTGAAGAAGTCAAGCTGCCCAGAGTCTTCGAGCTAAGCCTCTTTCTGGCCTTTGAACACGGGAGAAGCTGTGAGACTTGTGATATGAAGGCATCCTGAATTGTGACCTTGTTGCATCAAATTAAAAGACAATTGTCTTTCCACAAAAAAAAGGCTGCATCAAAGTCCTTCAGTGTCTTTTACAGATTGACAATCTTTAGGCTCAACTCCCACTAGGCCAAGCGCGTCAAATGCCCATCGGTGTCTGTCTAGGAGTCCCCTTTTTGTTGATCTACCCTTGTAGGTGTCTTCCTCTGTGAAGAATCAAGTGCCTTGTATGGAATGATTAAAAAAGTGTAAATGCTCATAGATGTCAAATAAATATTTTTTCCGGTTATTGATGCCTTTCCAACCTCTTGGGAACTTCTTTCCGGAGTCTTGCTAACTGCTGTGTTGCCGGATCGCATTGGATGGTGTCATCGGTGGAGACGGAAGCTCAATTGAGGGACCTTGAAACAGCTCAAACAAGGGCAGGCTCAAAAAGGATAAAGATCAAAAAAATCAAAAAGGAATAGATAAGTTGCGATCAAAGCTATCTAGGCTTAGCTGTGCTTTCGCTACAGTTCTTTGCAAATTGTTTGACGAAGCACTACGAAGTCATATCTGATTCAGACTGCTTGGGCTGCAGCGTGCTTTCCTCATGCCCGGCTCTGAGTTCATCTCTTCCTTTGGGTCCCTGCAGTCTTGCAAACTTCGCATCCACATTAAAAAGGACATTGCAAGGACATTCGCAGTTATGCTAGTTCTATCGATCAAGCCAGCCGGAATGAATTAATTGATGCCATATAGTTTCGTCGAACAGCTCTCAAGTTTGTTTTGCGCACACGTCAGCACATAGGTTTCTGATTGTATGTTTTGCAACCTCTACCTGGCTCTTGGGACCAGGCCCATTGGACAATCGAAGCAAAGCCAACCTTAGCACGTGATCATTTGAGTTTTGTTTTTTTCCATTTATATAGTTTTCCATTTGATTGTTTCCTATGTCCCTGAATTGGATAGTTCCGAATCCTTCCTGCTTCTGTGGAGCCTTCCGCGGACACTCTCCCGCAAAGCTGGTAGCTCTTGACGCTTCCGTAGATTACACCGTCCAAATAAGGGAAGCAGGGAAGCACGTGACATTTGGTAAATTTGGCGCGATTGCCACAAATGTTCCGGTCACTTCAGCCACTTGCTATCCTCAACTGCCGTGGATTTACATACACCTCTGCTCTGAATTTTGTGGTCGCAAGGAACAAAGGGAAGCTACCAATAGGCACAAAATATTGGCCTGGTGCGCAGAAAAGATCTGAACAAACGAGATGCTTCAATCTCAGCCCAGAAGATCCAAATGCTGATGTCTCTGGTGAATCGTTCCCAAAACCAACTGAGTGAATCCATAGCAACCTGCAAATACCCGCAAATTAGATTCAAAAAGTTGTCTCGAATGTCTAAAATTTGAAGGTGTCCCTAGAGGTGCCGTTGGGTAACCTTTGTGGTCATGACCTGACACTTTTGGGCGTTCATCGGAGTTCATCACGGCCCTCAAACAGTGCAGTTGCACTGGAAGTCTGCAGGTATGTTCAATTGATTGCAAGTGTGCATTTTCGACAAAGGGCGAATTCGTCATTTTTGCGTCAAGCATCTGGGGCGCTGTGAGATCCTTGGAATGCTATCTTGCATGCAAACGACATCTAGCCGCAGGAAGTTTAGAAGTCAAACTTCCGACAATATGGACAGATGAAAAGCAGAGATGGGAAGAGTCACAGAAGA